GAACTGTGAGATCATGACCTGAGCCGAAGTCGGACGCTTAACTGACTGAACCACCCAGGTGCCCCATAACCTCCAGAGAATCCTTAAAGAAGGAAAGCCAGGGACCATGATCTCATCAACACTGGTAATTAGGTTTCAGAGTTGGCCCTGTGAAGGACTAACTTTGTAACTTTAGGCAAATAACTTGGTCTTAATTTTCTTTTTAATTTTTTTTTTAATGTTTATTTATATTTGAGAGAGACAGAGACAGAATGCAGGTGGGTTAGGGGCAGAGACAGAGGGAGACAATCTGAAGCCGGCTCCAGGCTCCGAGCTGTCAGCACAGAGCCCGATGTGGGGCTTGAACTCACAAACCGTGAGATCATGACCTGAGCCGAAGTCAGACGCTTAACCGCCTGAGCCACCCAAGTAGGCACCCCTACTTGGTCTTAATTTGCTTTTTGTTCCTTCAGTATAAAATAGAATAATAATACCTACCCAACTTCCTTAAAGGCTTGACTCGATGATAATGAGGTATTAGGTAGGAAAGAACTTTAAAAAGTTAAAGGTACCGTGACTAGAGTTTTAGTATTAGAGTTTTAGTAGAAAAACTAGAGTTTTAGTATTAGAAATCATCCTTAGTGATGAACATATGTAGAAAATTCCTTCTTTTACAATGTTAGTATGGCATTTCTTAGAGTTAGAGCTGCAAGGGGTGGCATCTTAACAGTTTTAAGCCAATACGTAGCTGAGAGGAAAGTACACTGAACTTTTACGTTCAAGTTGTCATAGCTCTACTAAATAAAAAAATCTATATATATGTCAAGGCTTACAATTTATGAACATGGCGACTAATATTTTAGTATTGAGAAACTACAGGTGGCCTATACTCAGGCATTACCTTCTTTGCTTAAGATTCGGTGAATATTAGAAGACCTAAAAATGTTAATTATCATAACAACTACATTTTTACTGCACCGTAGCAAATTGTCTTTTGTGGCTTTAATCTTTTCTGGTTCTTAGGTACTTTGCATTCTCCTTTCCATTTCAGTCGACATATGATAACATTTTATGCCGATTTGAGTTAGAATAAATTTATTATAAGATAACTGCTTTCAGTTAAATTAACTTCATGATTTTGTGTACTGCCAAAAAGTCAGGGTGATCTAAAGAGGAAAGCGTAGGGTTTCTTGTCAGTCTGTTTGAATTGTGACTCCAGTGTTTACTGGGTGCTTAATTTGACTTTAAGCCTTACTGATTGGTAAGATGGGCATCCTAGTATCTGCTTCTAAAGGTGGTGAAGATTAAATACAATAATATATAAAATGTGCCTCACCCAGTAAGTAGTATACATTGGATGTTGAAATAAAGTTGTTCACCACCCTACCACTCCACACACACAGCTGTGTATCCTAATTTAATATTTGTTTCCTCTTTGTCTCCTAGGGATCTCTTGAAGGGGAAGGGAAAAGAAGACCAGTGAACTGTTTTTGCTTTTCTTAAAACTCTGGGATAGTAGTATTTCTAGGTTACGGATTCTTAAGAGACGTGGTGACATCTTAGAATATTGTCCAAGAAAAGTAATAAATGAATAGGAACATCATAAGTTAGTTGTTAAAACAAGGACTACATTAATTATAGCTGTCTTTAACGTCTTGTAGCCTAGGAAATCAGACTTTTTAATCCACACCACCCAGGTTTAAAATTTTTTTTCTTAACGTTTTTACTTATTATTGAGAGACAGAGCATGAGCATGGGAGGGGCAGAGAGAGGGGGAGATAGAGAATCCAAAGCAGGTTCCAGGCTCTGAGCTCAGCATAGAGCCCGACGCGGGGCTGGAACTCACAAACCGGGAGATCATGACCCGAGCCAAAGTTCGACGCTTTACCGACTGAGCCACCCAGGCGCCCCTGCACACCACCCAGGTTTGAGCAGGGTGAAGAGTTGCTCTGTTGCATAAGATTCATAAAGTTTGTTCAAGTCGGTATTCAACTTGGAATTCTTCAGTTGGTCCTACTTAAAATGTACAGTCTGCTTTCATAGGAGGAAGGAATCTCATTGTCCTAGGTAAAGTCTCTTTTGAGAAAATTATTGCTTACAAGAGAAAGGGGGATGGATGAGTGTGGTGCCTAATAAATCACTGATTTATTTAGCTTCTGTTTGGATGTAGAAAGAAGAAAGGAAATTTGCGGCTACTGTGTATGAGGGTTATTTTGCATAGTACGGGTGTATTTTCATTTAGGCCTTAGAGTGTATCTGTGAGGTGGGTTAGTGCTGTTAACCTCATGTATGGAGGATAAAAGTGGCACCCAGGTTGATAACCTTCATGAGGTGATATGGCAACAGGCAACAAGAGTGGGAATTTATTAACTGTTTTTGCTGTTTGTGTGTGTAAGCAGGGTAGTGTTTGTTTTTTTCATACTGTCTTATGTCTAAAATAGAAAGATAATGTTAGACATTTATGTCTAAATGTAAAACCTAGGGGCGTCTGGGTGGCTCAGTCGGTTGAGCGTCCGACTTCGGCTCAGGTCATGATCTCACAGTCTGTGAGTTCGAGCCCTGCATCAGGCTCTGTGCCGACAGCTCGGAGCCTGGAGCCTGCTTCAGATTCTGTGTCTTGCTCTCTCTCTGTCCCTCCCCTGCTCATGCTCTCTCTCTCTGTCTCAAAAATAAATAAAAACATTAAAAAGATAAATAAAATAAATTAAAAAAAATAAATGTAAAACCTAGGTTTAAAAAACAATTTTTTTAAGTTTATTCATTTATTTTGAGAGAGAGAGACAGAGCAAGGGGAGGGGCAGAGAGAGAGGGAGAAAGAGAATCCCAAGCAGACATGGGGCTCGAACCCACGAACCGTGAGCTCATGACTTGAGCTGAAGGGATGCTTAACCGACCGATCCACCCAGGTGCTCCTAAAACCTAGGTTTTAAATAGGACTAACTACTGTTTTTAAGATAACTGAGATTTGAACCTAGATTAATTTGGTTCCAAAGTTTATGCTGGGCATACAAAGATCAGTAGAACACCATCCAGCTTGTTGATCTTGCAGATTTAATGGTGGAGCGACATGTAAGCTCATGTAGTACTCTGTTAAAAGGTAGATGGGGGGACACCTGGGTGGCTCAGTCAATTAAGTGTGTGACTTCAGCTCAGGTCATCATCTCATGGTTCGTGGGTTCCAGCCCTGCGTCGGGCTCTGCGCTGACAATGTGGAGCTCCCTCTGTCCCTGCTCTTCCTCTGCTTGTGCGAGCTCACACGCGCTCTCTCTCTCTCTCTCTCAAAAAAAAAAAAAAAAAAAAAAAAAAAAAAAAGTTGGGATTCAGACCAGAGAATGACTTCCTGCTAGGGGAGGTCTCCGGAGGAGGTGGCCTTTGAGTGAGTCAGGTTGTGAAGGGTGAGACTATGCAAAGCTTTCACAGAAGCCTACACAGGGAGTTGAGAGGGTATGGTATTTTAGAGTCAAAGCCAGGGTTTCAGTTTAGTCTTTCTCTCTATAGTGAGGCGGTTGTTTAAAATGATTATTAATATTAAATAATATTTTAAAGCAGAGGTGAATGGAAGTTTAGAATAATAATTTTTAATTAATTTTAATTATTTTGTTTAATTTTAATTATTTTTAATAACAATAGTTTTCAAGAGTGTTCTGAAAGAGATTATAAGGGAGCTTGGTGTTACAGAGAACTCGAGGATTTTTTGTTTCCTCTTAAAATCACCCAAATAATGAAGGGCTCTCTATTCACATGTATTGCTTAGTCTGAATAATGTTATTACCTAGGTAACATATTTATTCCATATTTAAGAAACATCTTTTAGTTTAAGTCTATCTTCCAGTAAAAGCTACCTATTCAACCATTATATAAAACTTGTAGTTCTGAAGACACATCTAGATCATTTACCTTGAATATTTTAGATAGTTAGATGTAGTGAAAGGTAATATTGTTTGGAAAGGCAGGAATGCTATTCAAATGATTTTGACATAAAGGAGGTTTTTAGCAATTCTGTTTTTTATTACATAGCAATATACATTCATCACAGAAAATTTAGGAAATATAATGAAAACAAAGATTACTTCTAATCAATAAGGAGAAATAAGCTTTTGGGGGGGGTTATACAATTCCAATCACTAAATAAAGTTTTAATATTCATTCAGATTTCAGAGTCATAGTCAACCAGTAGCTACATTTAATACTTTTTTTTTTTTTAACGTTTATTTATTTTTGAGAGACAGAAAGAGAGCAGGAGTGGGGGAGGAGCAGAGAGAGAGGGAGACACAGAATCCGAAACAGGCTCCAGGCTTTGAGCCATCAGCACAGAGCCCGATGCGGGGCTCGAACCCACAAACAGCAGAATCGCAGAATCATGACCGGAGCTGAAGTCGGATGCCCAACCAGCTGAGCCACGCAGGCAGGCACTCCTACATTTAACACTTTTTTAAGCTAACAAGAGTGGTTTTTCATCTTTACATATTTTAGTGACTGAATTACCCTGACACAGTTGAGAGTTTGGTCAGTTTATTATTACAGTACATTCTGATTTTTATTTAATACGTAAGATAGTTGTTTTGACTGATGAAGAGTTTAGCCTATTTGATTAAATACTAATAAAGGACTTAGTTTAAGTGTTTATTACTCTTACTAGCAGTTAGACATTGCTCAGAATGCTGAAGCAAAAAGGAACCTTAAAAAACTGTCTGGTTTGCCTTCTCATTTTATAAATGAGGAAACTTTTTTTTAAATAATTTTTCCATATAGACTATTTTTTTTAATTTTTTAAATGCATGTTTATATATTTTGAGAGAGAGCATGAGCAGAGGAGGGACAGAGGGAGACACGGAATCTGAAACAGGTTCCAGGCTCCAAGCTGTCAGCACAGAGCCCGACGCGGGGCTGGAACTCACGAACTGTGAGATCATGACCTGAGCCAAAGTTGAACACTTAACCGACTGAGCCACCAGGCGCCCCGGAAACTGTTTTCTTCCAAGCTGCTGTTCCAGTGACTTCTTTGTTTAGATTTTGTTTTGTTAAGCTCTCGCTTCATTGCAGTCCTTTCTCTTCCTGGTCAGGCTCTGTTTTTTCCACCTCTCAGCCAAGGGTACAAAGAAAAAGGAGACCGAAGAGAGGAGATAACATGTGCCAGAGAAGTAGAAGGAGCCAGTGTAGGTCTGGGTGTAATCATATAACCAGCCTGGAAGGAAAGAATGATCTCTGTTAGCAAAGCAAACCTTTCAGTTAGTAATTCTCAGCCATATACTGCTCATTGAGGGAAGAAGCCTCCTGTACTTGTAGGTATCGTGACCCAACAGAAAGTCAGGCTGCTTGCCTGATATTTTGGATTGATGAAGTTAAATCTGTTCCGCTTGAGTTAGGGGTTTAACCCTGTGGGAAGAAAGCCATTGTGGAGCCAGAACTCATCTTGTCTTATAGTGGAAATTAGGAAAACTCAGGGATGCCTACAGTTTGATTTTATGATGAATCTTATTCGAAGGTCACTGTTCTTACAAAGAAAACAATTGTGAATTGCTACTGTTTCCTGAAGAAAAAAGTGAACCCTCGCTGAAAAAAGTTTCCCCTCACTGAACAAACATTTCAGTAATTACTATGTTCCCAACAGTTGTTGAAGAAGGTAATGATATTAAGCCAAAACAGACATGGTTCCTGCCCTCAGACTGTACAGTTTAGTGGGGAGTTGGGTATTAACCACGTGAGTTACACGTGCCATCAGGGCTATGAAGGGAAGGTTCAGGAGGCTGTGAGAGCATATGAAAAGGAAGTGACTATTTAGTCAAGTGGGTTAAATGATGACTATAAATCCCCCTGAAATCAAAATGCTGTTTAATCAGGAATGGGTGGGTCCACCATTTGGCTAATGGCACATACTATTATGTGCCGTTTTTAAACGAAACACTTTCTTTTTTTTTAATTTCTTTTTTAATGTCTATTTATTTATTTTGAGAGAGAGCATGCATGCCTGTGAGCACGGGAGAGGTAGAGAGAAGGGGAGAGAAAGAATCTCAAGCACGCTCCTCACTGCCAGTGCAGACCCTGATGTGGGGCTCAAACTCATGAACCATGAGATCATGACCTGAGCTGAAATCAAGAGGGAGATGCTTAACGGACTGAGCCACCAGGTGCCCTGAAACACTTTTCTTAAAAACTGTGTATGGTGGCAAAGAATGTGCAAGGCAAGAATGTTTGTGTGTGGCCTTCAAACATTGTTATAAAAGTCAGCCCTATGGAAAGGCAAATAATGTGTTAGTATTGTTATGATAGTTTTGACCTCCTAGCCATCCTAAAGGTCTCAGGACCTCTGGGTGTCCACTGACCACACTCTGAGAACTTCTTTTCTAATTTTGTTGTTGTTGTTGTTGTTGTTAAAAAAAATTTTTTTTAATGTTTATTTATTATTGAGAGACACAGAGCATGTGCAGGGGAGGGGCCGAGAGATAGGGAGACACAGAATCTGAAGCAGGCTCCAGGCTCTGAGCTGTCAGCACAGAGCCTGATGCAGGGCTCGAACTCACAAACCACAAGATCATGACCTGAGCTGAAGTCGGACGCCCAACCGACTGAGCCACCCAGGCACCCTGAGAACTTCTTTTCTAAGATACTATATGCATATTATCTTTGTAGATGCAAATTGGCTTTTAATCCTAAAAAACCTTAAAAAGTTAAAGCTATTATTCTGATCATTTATTGAAGAAGTTGTGGTGCTATATGCCAGATGAAAATATCTGCCCTCATAGGGCTTACGTATTATTTTAAGTAGGCTCCATGTGCAACATGAGGCTTGAACTCACAGCCCTGAGATCAAGAGTCAGATGCTGTACTGACCCAGCCAGCCAGACATCCCTGATTTTCATTTTGTAACATGGTTTCTCACTGAATGTTAGCATATACCCTTTTCTTTTTTTGGTCTGATTGTATGTGTCTTTATCTCCTGTCGTTTGTTTTTTAATTTGGTTTTGATACAGATAATTTTTTTGTTTGCTTCATTAGCTTTATGTTTCCTGTTAACTGATATAATGAATGAATGGAATGTTTTATAGCCTCTTAAATTCAGCTAACTTTAGCTTGCTTTTTACCTATTGACTCCTTGTTGGATCAGTGACCTCATTTAAATGTTTCTTGGAGTTAAGCATGGAGAGAAATGGAGTAGGACAAGTCTTTGTGTTATGTGGGTTGTGATTGACCTTTAGATATCTAAAGATATCTAAGAGAGAAATAGGTAGGTGACCAGCTGCTCAAATTTCTAGAAAGGAGGAAGTGTAGAAAGTACCCAGACCCTTTCCTATCCCTTGTCATTCTTGCTTAGTCCCACCAGTACAGCAGATTTACCAGTATTATACATAGCCTGCGAAGCATAAGATAGGGACAGTAGAAGAAATGCTCCAGAAAAGACTAGTAGTTTTTAGACAAGGAAGTGGATAGTGCTGCTAAAAAGTCAGGAGGGCATAGCTGAAAATAGTGAAAATGGGTGGTGATGGTGGTTGTCTTTATAAATCCCAGAAAACTGGTAATAAGCCTTTCATTTCACATGTAAAAATACATTTAAAGTTAGAATGTTGGGGCGCCTGGGTGACTCAGTCAGTTAAGTGTCTGACTCCTGATTTCTGCTTGGGTCACAATCCTGGGATTGAGCCCCACATGGGCTTCGTGCTGACAGCACGGAGCCTGCTTGGGATTCTCTCTCTCCCTGTCTCTCTCTGCCCCTCCTCCCCCTCTCAAAATAAATACACGTTAAAAAAAAATAAATGACCGTTGGTAATTCAGAACCCATCGTATTCTAATCGTTTTATATGTAAGCACCTAAGTTGACATTCAGAAGACTGGGCTGCTTTGTGGACAGAAAAAGCATTGTGGATGAGAGAGAAAAATGAGATGATGTACCAGCCATAATCCAGGAGAGCGTGTGTCCATCTAAGTGTCCGCTCCATGCTGAGTATTGCCATATGTAGCCAACACTCAGGAGGAGGAGTACCCTGGCAGCTGGTACCGACTGCCTAAGACCCAAGAAGTGCCCTGTAAGCATTTCCTCAGTGTTTCTGGACTACCTGCCTCGAATTCACCTGAGATGCATGTTAATCGTGCAGATTCATTGGCTTTCCTTAAGCATAATTCATCATGGGTGGCACCCAGTTGATTCTCATGCACGATAAAATTATAGTCCATGTTATTTTCATGTGGCTATGGCTACAACCCTAATTTTAAGCAGGAATGTCTAACGATATTTCTTGTGATAATTGAAAACAACTAAGAAGGTAGGGCTCAGCTTCCATAAACAGTTCTGCAAACTAGTTTTTTTATAGTCAATATGAAACTTGATATTTAATAGAGGGTTGTCTATTTTTTTAATGTCAACACTTTTAAATTTTTTTTTTTCAACGTTTATTTATTTTATTTTTGGGACAGAGAAAGACAGAGCATGAACGGGGGAGGGGCAGAGAGAGAGGGAGACACAGAATCGGAAACAGGCTCCAGGCTCTGAGCCATCAGCCCAGAGCCCGACGCGGGGCTCGAACTCCCGGACCGCGAGATCGTGACCTGGCTGAAGTCGGACGCTTAACCGACTGCGCCACCCAGGCGCCCCTAATGTCAACACTTTTAAACTATTCATCATTTTATGGGTAAAGCCATACGTGTTTAAAAATGAGTTTACCATCCTGTCTAAAAAGTACCTCTGATAGCTCAGAACTTGATTGTTGAACCGAGTTATGAATCCTCTTTATTAGGATTACTGTTGTAAGTTTATTATTGGTCATCTTGTTAAAACTTGAAATACACCCAGAAGGCCCTTAATTCCCAAGTTCCTTGATGCTGGTTCAAATTAGTGGTTGAGAGTTCCATGAGTGACTTGAGGGTTTTGAACCAGAACTTCTAGCTGTTGGGCTACAGCATAGTGGCAGACTTCCAAGGTGTACAATGATCTTTTGTCCTCCCTGGAGTCACTGGAGCCACTGCTGGCTATTAGCTGCCTTGTCATTTTACTTAGGGCGTACCGTTATAAACATTTTCTATATGTGCCATGATGGGAAAAGTCTTGGGAAACGGTTTAGCAAGTTTAAACCTCACTGCCTTTGAAGACAGGAGCTCTCTCAAGGCCCCTTGATAGAAGTTTGCAGTAAGATTTACTGGCAGTGCTTTAAGTATTTGCTCTATGCTATGAGTTTCATTAAAAGGATTATGCTCTGTGTTAGGATTTTGAAGTTTATACTTGATTTTTTTTTTTTTTTTTTGGCCTTGTAAAGGAATATATTTGTGAAGGAAAGACTACCCCACCCATCCCCTCTTTTTAACGAGAGTAGTGAGCTATTTGGAATTTATTTGTGATGTTTTTGTAGGGATTCGTCAATCTTAGGAACACTGAATCCAAGTACAATTCTTGGGGGCTTTGTTGTTTGTGAGGAAAATAATCACTGAATAAATAATGATTTACATTACTTTCTTTTGCTTCTTCAGGGAATGATATGTTCCTCCGGGTTTAGAGGACAGAGAACTTTGCTCTGCCTTCTTACTTGTCCCCACCTACCCTAACCTGCAGAGTGGATTTACAGCACATCAAAAAGTGGAGTCATTTTATTTGTTTTCCAAATAAAATTTCAGGCCATAGAGAAATTTTCAACTATAGGCCAAGATGATAAAACTGTAGAGGGCATGGTTGAGGAAAGGTGGAGTGAGGAACAGGTGGAATATTTGTTTCATGTTATATCTGAAATGAAGATAGGCTAGAAATAGGAAGTGCCATTTCATGAGGAAATGAACTTATCTGTGTTAATGGCACAGAGACAAGCTTAGATGAATGAATTTCCATTTTAGCCATTGTCTGTTCTTATAAAACACAGATGAAGAGTTAGTATAAAATTACCAGTTTCCCTCCATGGCCTCTCTGGTGAGGCGTGAGGTTGACAAAAGCAGGAGAGAAATGTACTTCTCTGTTAGGAACTACTTAACTTTAACTTACTCTGGGGTACAACCAACTTAGAGCTGTTTGGCGTTAGAAGTGACTTTCTTTGAGTTTGTCGAAAAAATCACTTGTGAAATACGTACTTAACTGAGTGAAGCTTCAGTATTTTTTTAAGGTCATTTTTATTATAACACAGCTCAGGATGTCTTCGTTCAAAGGTAAGAAAACAAGAGTTAACCAATTTGCACTATAACCAAGTAATAGTGACTTAATCAAATTTTCAATTAATGAAGTAGAGAAAGAATGTACATTCTAATAATTCTTAGTTTTAGAGGTTCTCGACTCTTGTCCTGAGTATTAAGTTCTGGAAGTATATGTGACAAAGTGATGGCTATACCGTGACCCCATATGTTGTGGAAGAACATTAAGAGAATGGCTTTGTCTGTTTTTTTGTGTTTTTTTGTTTTTTTAAGATTTTATTTTTAAGTAATCTCTACACCCAACGTGGGGCTCGAACCTACAACTCTGAGATCAGGGTCGCAGGCTCTATCCACTGAGCCAGCTAGACGCCCCAAGAGAATTTTTGTTTTCTTTGTGTTCCCCATAGCTTTGTGTTCCTCCTAGCATAGCTAGGAGAAGGCTATGCTAATAAGTTGCTTGATAATTATTGAACGAGTACTAAGCTATAATCAAATAATTATGATGTTTGAAGGACTTCTCAGATATTTGTGATTGGTTTAAATATACATAAAATATGTATATTAGCATAATAGAGGGATTCATCAGGTGGCAGTGGGGGGCACGTGGAAGAGAAGGGAACTGCATTCAGTTTTATTTTATAGGCAGCTAATATGGGCCCTTGGTGGTTTTATTTTGAAGTGAAACTGAGCCTTTAGCATTTTTGAGCTCACAGGTCCAATGCCTGATACACGATGAAAAATTTCACGTTCCTGCTTGTACGTTGGAGAATATGATTATATGCTTTGCTCAGTGATTGATCTTTGTATTTGTATTACTTTTTGCAGGTTCATATTTGTTAACAGGGATCTACTAGAAATACAATAAGGTTTTAAAATACCAGTACTTTTTACTTTTCCACAACCTTCCAAAACTTCTGTCTGGGCCAACTTGTAGTTCTGGATACTGTTTACCAACAGATAATTGTGGGGTTTGGAAGAGCAGGGTTAGTTGACCTGCACTTAGGTCTGTTGACCACCCAAGGTCAGGAAACCTGGAGCGACCCTAGTACTGTCCTAGTCTGAAGCAGATCATATTATTAAACTAACATTGAATTTGTCAACTGAGTATTAAAAAGGAATAGGAGAGGGTGTGGGGCGGAAGAAGTGGTGTGGGGGGGTGGGGGTGGGGCATGATTTTTAACTTTGATCCATTTCAGTCCCTGTCAGTTATTTTCATCGGAGATGGTACAGATTTTGTTGCTACTATGTTTCTTCGCATATTCAGTTAATGAAGGTCTGTAAATAGTTTTCTTGCCCATAGGCTCCATTTACATTTATTAAAAGTATTTTTTTAACTCAGTCGTATGATTTCTATGGGTTTCTTATGCTTTTTTTTCTTTCCTTGAATTTTTAAAATATGTTCTGTTGGACGAACTTGTTTTTTTCTCTTTCATTTCCATACAGGAGGGAGAAAATATTGTTCATATAGTCGATGTTACAGTTTTTAACTAGCGTTTTGACTAAGGATTATTGTGAAAAGTTTTACTGTTTGCTAGCTTCCTAATTTTAAAATACCTGTAATCTTTTATAGGAATTTCAACTTTTGCAATTTGATAATAACAGATCTGGGTAAGTACAAAATGAGAATCTCCTACAGTTCTGAGAATCTAAGTTTGGTTGAGAATTTAATACTTTATAACCAGTAAGCCTTGTGATTTAGTTAAAGCTGCAGGCAACAGTGCCAATGGCCCACACCTGTTGAGAGCTGAGTAAATCTGTATGTAAATCAGCATTTCTGTTCTTTCTATGGTCCTTGTGCTGGACTCAGGAGTTAGGAACAAGTCTAATGGCTTTTGTAAAATCCTCTTGTCGTTCCACAGAGGAGTGACTTACAGGAATAAAGACTTAACTGAAGTTTCTCCCTTTAACAAGATGCTTAGTTGGCATAGCGTAGTCAGTGAGACATCATGTTACAGAGAAGGAAGTTTGACTGGATTTTATATTAATTATAATAATAATAATCTTGTTTAAGATACTGTGAGCAACTCCCAGATTTAAAAATCTGTATATAAGCTGTCAGCAACAGCCTTATCGATTTCTTTGACTATCTTGTAGAACTTATTAAAAAAAATTATGATTGCCTAAATAATATTTTCTGAATTAGTGGGTAAAAATTCTTTCATGAGCTGTCCTTTTCCTCACATATAGTGCTAGGGTATTATGGACATTGGGTAATAAAAGGCTTGTAAATTTTTTTGACTCATTGATAGTAAGAAATGTGTTTTACATCACCTATATTTTATATGATGTGTGTGTGTGTGTGTGTGTATGAACTAAAAGTTTAAAATAAAGTGATGCACACTGTTTTTTAATCTGTTCTGTTGTAGTCTGTTCTTTTTCATTAAAAAAATTTTAAAGGTCATGACCATACAATTTGATTTCAAGACCCACATACATATCTATAACTTTTCCCTTTCAAGTAATAACTCCTCACAAAACTTGCCTTGCCTTCTCATGTATTGAACTTTTTTTTTTAATGTTTATTTTTGAGTGAGAGAGCAAGCCCGGGAGTGAGGGCAGCGAGAGAGGGGGACAGAGGATCCAAAGTGGGCTCTGTGTTGACAGCAGAGTGCCTGATGCAGGGCTTGAACTCACGAACCATGAGATCAGGACTTGAGCTGAAGTCAGACACTTAACGGACTGAGTCACCCAGGCACCCCATCGTGTATTGAACTCTTTAAACATTTTAAGATGTGTACAAAAACATATAAAACATGAAATCTCTAAACATGTTACATCCCTTTATCATTTGAGTACGATACTCTGTGCCCGGTTATCTGTTACCTCTTATACTTTGGGCCCAAAAGGCTTGGAAAGTTTTAAGGCATCACTGAGATGGCCTGTGAAGAAGGGTCAGGATTGAAAAAAGTGCATCGGTGAGCTATATTTGAGCTTCATTTTTTCTAGCTTGCTGACCTGCACACTATCCACAGAGCTGCTCTGCTAAGCATCTCTGGTGTTTAGTCTTCTGATACTGGTCCCTACATCACAGTTCTGAGCCTGACTTTAAAATTCGAGCTTGCTTTCCAGGTGTGAGGTAAAGACTGAGCTAGACCACACGGGCAGAGGTGTGCTCATAAATGCAAATAGGAGTTGGTTGTATATTTGTATAAACTTTTCCTTTAGGTACACCTAAATTGAACCTCCGACTATGGTGCATTTTTTTTCTTCCGTTAATAATTTTTTGTTATTAATACTATTTTTTCCTTTTGATATTTGCCTATTCCAGGTCTTAACATTTAGGTGCAAACCTAAGTAATATCATTATAAAACTTAGTTTTTAAAAAAAAGCATAGTGAGGCAAGATCCTATCTTTTTTCTATTTCACTTCAGGACTGAAGGAGGTAAAAGGAAGCTGAATTCCTGTCTGTGGATAATTGGAAATGCTGTAGCAATTTGTACATTTAAGCATGTTGAGAACCTGTAGTATGTAAAATACTAAAGTTTAAGTCTGTTCCCTAGAAGTATTTCTGAGTAGTCTTTTGATAGTCTTGGCTTAGATGGTCAGCAAGCAATGGACAAAATGTGCATTTGGGTTAAAAGTGCATATAAAATCATAATTCAGTCTTTAACTGAAATCATCAGAAGTCCCAAATTTTTCCTGCACTTGCATTTAATATTCACCAGTGGCCCTACCACCTCCTCTCCACAGGGATTCTGGCCTGTAGGCCAAGTATCCTCCTGCGCTTGGTACAGATAGAATATGAAGGGCCTCCATCATCCCTCTTGGAAAATAAGAGATGCTGAGAAGCCCTGGACAACTGTATGTATGCTACATCTGAAGAGAAAAGGGGCACGCTTGCTACCTTCGAGCTCCATATTGACTCCTGCTCAGATAGAAGATACTAGTGGTTTGTTTGTTTGTTTGTTTGTTTGTTTGTTTGTTTTAAGGCATCATAGGTCTTTGAGAATCTTCTAAAAATCTGGATTATCTCCCCAGGCAGGTAAACATAGCACATAATCCTTGCTCTAAGACTCCCAAGATAATGTCAGAAACTGCTAAATTAATCTGTTCTTATCTATTGCATTAATCCTCAGATCCTTCTGGATTGGTGATGGGAGTCTGAGAGTTAGCATCAGTTTTTTAACCTGATGTTGCCATTCATTGCATGTCACCATTTGGGTCAGCATTTTCTTTCATTGCTATTGAAGTTTGCTCAGAATATAGCTAAGCTGTTACCTGCTATAGGTGGTCCAGAAAGGACAGCCATCCCAGCAAAGAAAGCGGCAAGTCCCAGGAACCTGTGTATTCTAGAACTCCCAGACAGATCAACCTGTAGGGATAAGAATCCAGTGTTAGCCATACTGAGGGTGAAATTCTATGGAGACTATGGCTACAAAGGGACAAATGCTATGAACAGTTGATTTCCAAGGTGATTTGGATAGCTTTTTGCCTTGACATTATAGAAAAGCTGAGGCAAACAGGGAAGAGTCGTTGTGCTAGGCAGGCAGTGTTTTCATTGTGATCTTTGAGGTGACTCAGATGCACCTTTATTTCCTGTCACAGCTCTTCTCTGTTAGGAAATGGTATTTACATTCTAAGCAGACAGGGGTGTTCCTGAATCCACCTATGGCTAAATACCAGTCATTGGTTTGTAAGAAGTCAGTTTTCCCAGGTTGACTTCAGCTTTAGAAAGCTTGGTTCTTGAATAAGTATAATATCCTACAGCCCTTATGTTAATATTGATATCAGGCCAGAAGTTTCCCTGGGATTCTGTTGCAGTAGATTCGGGACCTAGTTCTGAGAAGAATCCATGGGATTCCAAGAAGAACAATTTCGATTCCTTTTGGGACCAAGACTTCATGTCAGCTTGAGGTAAAAGTAGAGAGTGGTTAAACAATGTCCCTGGTAAAGTACACAGAACTTGTCTTAACAAGAGAGAAGTCACACTGGTCAGGAAGCCCCAGGTTTTTCTCAGGGAACTCTTCAAGATGGTGTCTTAGAAGGAGCCAATGAAATTTCCAGAGCCTAGGGAAGCAGTAAACACAGACCTAACATGCTGGGACACTGAGAAGCAAAGTGGAATCCTACTGATCCTTTTTTTGCTTTCATTTCTTTTTTGTCCCATGTAGGTAATTCTCTCGTCATCCCTTCCCCCAAAGGTAAGATGAATCACTGGGCAGGATATATAGCTAGCTGCAGGGTTTCTTCAGCCTTGCATATGATTTTTTTTTTTAATTATAAAATTACTACAAAATACCTATTCTCTTTGGGGAGGTTATCATTAATGCTTGTTTTTACTGAATGCTTTAACAGTGTTAATGAGTGTGTCTGCTCACCAGTACAGGAAGTACCATTGCCAGGTAACCACCAGCAAAAACGGCAAAGAAGATGGCATAGGTCATAAGTAGTGGAAATGTGGTGGCCAGAGGAGCAAGCAGGTTAGTGAAACCGCAGAGGATGAGGTAAGACTTGTGGTAATGATACTTCTTGATCCAGTCTTGATCAGCAACCCATCCGGAGACTATTTGACTGACTGTCTCAGTGATGCCTGGAACAGCATTGAAAGACCTTATGAAATCCTAATTCCATTTGCCTAGCCCCTTCGAGAAGTGTAGCTGCATTAGACCTCCTTTCCTAAAAGTAATATGGCTTCGTCCTGAGGCTAGGACATATGAGAGAAAAATGGTCTCATTTGTCTGTCGATGGATTCTATCATTTCTGTACCTGTTCCAAATACATCCAATAAAATACCAAAAAGGCTCCTTCAGAGTTGGGTGGAAGACCCTTCAGGTATTTTTTTCCTGATTGCATTTGGAAAGCTCATACCTCCTGACTGGGAATCCCTGCTTACAGAGGACCATTTGCTCAGGAGGCCTTCCTCAGGTCCTGCAAGGGAGGGAGTGAATTTTCTAAAAGACTCCTAGACTCTCTGGTCAGTGTGCTGGGGAAGTCATATGGTGGAAGACTGGAGACTATAAATAATAAAGTCTTATGTTGAAAAAAAAATAGATGTTGGGACTCTTTATTATGATTGTGTATGAGGGTTTGGTAATTAATTCCTCCTCTAAAGGTTATTATGTTAACTTGGAATTAGGAAATCTGGAAGTGCGTGGTCATTTTGAACATTGGAGCTATGGTGTATCTTGAATAAAATTTAAGAACCACATTTTCCATTCAGTAGCATGATAATAGACGATTCTTAGTTTTTATCGATTATAAGCTAATGCAGCAGTTAAATAATGAAAGATTTTCACTAAAGAGTAGCATAAGCTACAGTTGTTTGGTACTTGTAATTCTTCCTATGGTTTTAGACATGAATTGTTCCACAAAAAAAGGGGGAGCGGGACAGAAAATGCATCCTACTATTCCATTTCTGTTCTTACAGTTATTTCCTAGGGTACCTATGGAAACTTTATGTTAGGTTCTTTGGTCTTGTTGCATAGCCCTAAACTGATCTAAATTGATGATTGCCAGACATTTTAGTGAAAAAAAGCAGTTCAGCTTTGTATCTTTTTCTTGTGTACACAAGCTTTAGTTGACTGAAGTGAGGTATCTTTGCAGTTGGAAATGGGGTATGGTCAGTTTTGTAAGGACTTGGTAAGCAGTCTTTTCAAGAAATTCGCAAGAGAAAAGTTAATATTGAGCTACTTAGAATTTCCAGATGTTTAGAACAATCCAGTTCCATGTCATTCCTTTTCATTTTCTTAAGTTCTCTATTTGGTCCTTTGAGAGGACCCATCTCTTTTGAAGCAAGCATTTTGTTTTCTTACATTTTTATGAATACACACTAAAATGATTGTTTTCATTTTTTTTAATGTTTATTTTTGAGAGAGAGTGTGAGCAGGGGTGAGGCAGAGAGACAGGAAGACACAGAATCTGAAGCAGGCTCCAGGCTCTGAGCTGCCAGCACGGAGCCCGACATGGGGCTCAAACTCACAAACTGTGAGATCATGACCTGAGCCAAAGTTGGTCGCTTAACCGACTGAGCCACCCAGGCGCCCCAATTGTTTTCATTTTTAACTTAACATTCAAATTTATTTAAAAATTTTTAAGTTTATTTATTTACTTTGAGAGAGCGCGTGAGTGGGAGAGGCACGGAGAGGGAGGTAGAGAATCCCCAGCAGGCTCCGCACTGCCAGTGCAGAGCCCAGTGCGGGGCTTGAACCCACAGGCTGCAAGACCATGACCTGAGCAAAAGTCGGATGCTCAACTGACTGAACCACCCAGAGATGCCCCTCGAATTTTTTTTAAATATCAGCCAGCCCATTAGTGACTAGCCTTGAGAGACATATTTATCTGTCTTACTGTGAGTTCAAGGGAAAAAGTTCTTAGCTACACATACTGATAGAACATTACTGAATGCTTACGATGGGCCAGGAACTATTTCAGATGCTACATGCATTGTTCGTTCAATCCTGGTGACCTTATGAGGATAGGTACTATTATCACTGTATTACAGATGAGGAAATTGAGGCACAGGGAACACGACTAACTTGCTGAAGGTTGTACAGGTAGGAAATACAGAGCAAAACCCTGAACTCCAGAACCAACCTGTGTCCTATGCTGTCTGCCTATGGTTTTCCGGCTTCCTGGAGTGGCTGTTGCCACTGGGCACCAGCTTTTTAAAACCGAGTATTTATCCAACAATTATTTAACGGGGGCGCCTGGGTGGCCCAGTTGATTAAGCGTCCGACTTCATCTCAGGTCATGATCTCACGGTTCGTGAGTTCGAGCCCTGCATCAGGCTCTGTGCTGACAGCTCAGAGCCTGGAGCCTGCTTCCAATTCTGTGTCTCCCTCTCTCTCTGCCCCTCCCCCGCTCGCACTCTGTCTCTCAAACATAAGCATTAAAAAAAAACAACCCTCAAATTAAAAACAAAAAAAAATGAACAAGCCTTGCTTGGGGGCCGCTATCTGCTATAGGGAGCCTGTGTGTAAGGTACAGTGACAGGTCTGTGGAGGGATACGCCAGGTGCTCCCATCAGCCTCCAAAGACTTCCTTTTCCCTGGCCCTCCCACAACTCCTTTAAAAACCATCGCTTTTCTTTAGTTTATAAATAAAATCTGGTAACTTCTTGTAAAATTAAGTTCCTTTTGAGTTTGAGGTTAAAGTAATGCTTCCTTACCAGCTACCGAAACGAGGAAGGTGGCATCCATGAAGTCAATCCCCAGTGTTTTGGCTCTGGCTACCAGGTGAAAAGTAGGGATGAAATATGCCAACTGACTGAGGAGGAAAGACCAGGTAAATATGTAGAAGAAGGGATTTTTAAAAAGTGAAATGTCGAAGAAGTTTTGCTTACAGCTCCGTGAAATAGCCTCTTTCTCATAACTGTCTTCATTAGTTACTAGGAACACACTGTTTCCATCAGGCCCATTGTTGAACTCTTTGCTTTTATTTTGTGACACTATTAAACTTGGACCAGGTTGTCCAGCCTTCTGCATAGCACTGTCCCTGATGGTGGTGACCTCTTGTGTCTCATTGCAGGATGACGTTTCTGTCTCACACACTGCCCCTGGGTTACTTGTAGACAAGCGGCTACCTCTATTTTTAACATCAGAATTGTTCTCGCTTGCAATATGGATGGGTCTTAAGAGCATACTGGAAGGCACCAAATTCAGTGTAAGTGCTCCAAGTAGTATAAGGGCACCTAAATAGGGGAGAGAGAGAGTGAGAAGTTAAGTTAAATATGACCCCTCTCATTTCACAGTACTCTGTGTTCTTAGGCTCAGAAGGGGCCCCACCACTAAATGTATTCTGTCATAGTGTAATAATTCCTGAAGACACTACTTTGTCCCCTAAATTTAACTGAAGTATCTAAATCTGTTGACTTCATTTTTAATTTTTTTTTTTTCAACATTTATTTATTTTTGGGACAGAGAGAGACAGAGCATGAATGGGGGAGGGGCAGAGAGAGAGGGAGACACAGAATCGGAAACAGGCTCCAGGCTCTGAGCCATCAGCCCAGAGCCCGACGCGGGGCTCGAACTCACGGACCGCGAGATCGTGACCTGGCTGAAGTCGGACGCTTAACCGACTGCGCCACCCAGGCGCCCCTGTTGACTTCATTTTTAGCCCTGCACACCACTGTATCCTTGTGGAAACAGGGCATCCTTTGAAAATAGAAAACCAGAAAGCTGTACCAGGAGATGGCGTGGAAGGAGAGAGTGTTATTTGTGTAAGAGGAAAAAAGAAAAGGTTTGGGTGGGGAGCATGCGGTGTGTGTGGGGGGGGGGGATATTTGAAATGTTAGAGAATTACAGTGTGTTTTAAATAGCGATTCAGGATATCCTGAAGTAGGGATATAGATTTAGGGATAGAGAATACAGCATTAAGGGGCAAGCCTCTCATCTCATGACTTTTTAAAATTCCTTGAAAGAAGACCGATGCCAGTCTCGCCTTGGCAGCTGAGTAGTTGCTTGGTCTCAGCATGGCCTGACCAAAGCTGTGGGCTGTGTCTCGTACTTCCAGAGATGGAATTGGCTGTAGGTTCGGCTGTCTTGCCTTATGGATTTGCCAGCTCGTTCTGTGTACCGTGAGGCCACTGGTGGGTTTTCACTTGGGAAAGGAAAGAGTCAACAAGAATGCTCTGCAGGTAGAAATAGGCTTGTGTATATTCTTACATATGTACTTCTGCCCATAGATACACATATGGTTTTCTAGTACTTTAAGATGATTTTAATCCTTAAATGTTTTAGCGTAGGCACAAAGAAAATTGTGGAGTCAAATGGTGTTCATTTGTTTGTGAAAACTCTATAGTCGAAGCTGTATAAAAGGCTATGAATTAACATAATGCTGTTTTTTTACCCCCCTCCCCCCCCC